ATAGTGTTTGTGTGCATGATGTTTTTACACCAAAAAAAACGATATTTTAAAAATATATTTCAAAAACTATGTATTTACGTATTTTTTGTGGCAAATAGCTTTACTGTTTGTATAATATTCTCATGTTCACAAATGTTAATATTAGTTTTGAAAAGTACTCAAACCCACCACTCAGTAGTACATTATTGTACCTATAGAGTTTTTTCATCCGTGATTTCTGCATGTAATTGTCCCACGTAATGAAAACGTGACTTAATAATGTGTATGGAGGATTTAAAAATAATGAATATTTGCAACAATAAGGAACCAAAATTTTCTTTTAACTATTATTTTATTTGACATACTTCTTTTATTGTGAAACATTTTGTAGGAGTCAAATATCTGTCTAGGTAATAGATTAGATTAGATTATAGCCACTATTTGATGTTTGTGTTGTTACAGATTATAGCCACTATTTGGTGTTTGTGGTGTTATATGTTCACTTTGCAATGTAAGCAAAAACCTGCTTGATAAGTAGATACAAGTTGTAGAGTCGCAAATAATCTTGATTTACTTATATTTATGTGTGATTTCCAAAAGGAGTGATAGCAGGTTGAATCTTATTCCTTTGGAAAACCCACTGATATCATAAGTAGAAAAAAACAACATTAGTTAATTGTTGCTTTTGAAATTTTTGGTTTTGTTTCTAATTCATTATTTTATGATATAATTAAATGCATCAGGTTTCTTGTATGAATACAGTTTTATTGTTGTGTATTATTAGTTTTTATATTCTGTTAGAAAGTGTAAAGTGCATAGTTTATTAGTTTATGTTAATTTTCATCTACTATTAGTAACAGAAAAATGTTTATTATTAAAGAGTGTACTTAGAGTATGTTGTTGTACATTGTTAAATTTCTACACTAGTAACATAGAAATGATTAATATATCTGAGTATGTTGTTGTATATTGTCAAATTTCTACACTAGTAACATAGAAATGATTAATATATCTCAGTATGTTGTTGTACATTGTTAAATTTCTACACTAGTAACATAGAAATGATTAATATATATGAGTATGTTGTGTACATTGTTAATTTTCTGTACCATTGGTAAAGTAATTTTTATTTATTTATCAAAGTGTTACTCTGTTATATTTTGCACACTATCAGAAAGAAAAATTGTTTTAAATTTTTATCAGAGTATGTTGTTATGCATTGTTAAGTTTTGCATTACTAACATAAAAATGCATGCTTTATTAGTATATGCTGTTTTGTTATTGCATTGGCAGGATGTGTACTAAAGAAATCGTTTAACAATTTAAAATGCTAAGTCTTGAAATGTGCTGCATTAGCTGCACTGGATCATATTCTGTGTTAAGTTCCAAGATCATATAATTCTGAATGCAATAATTCATTTGAAGTATAAATATTATTTCAGAAAAACAGAAGAGAACGTCTCAAAAGTTTCAGAACATCACAAGCGAGGGGTAAAAGAGAAAGAAGAACAAAGTAGCATCAATGTACAGAAACAACATGATGAAAATAGTGTTGCTTACAAACGAGAAGTTGGAAAACAAGTTGAAGCGGTAATTAAAATCATGATCTTCTAACTTTTAGCCAAATTCAGCCCTCATTCTCACAAAAGTTGTAGTGTCAGGCTTTAATCCAGAACTCAGGATTTTGTAGAGAAAAATAATACCAAGTTTATTCATTGCCAACCCTGAGGGTGTTTTTTATTGTTTACCACATAGTTCTTGGATTAGAAAATCTGGTATTTTTTGAAGTTCTTACATCTTTCCTGCTTTTAAGTTTTGAGCCTCTCATTTTGTTTAGGAATTGGCCATCTGAACATGTTTACTCATCACCTGCTTCAAGCTGTCATTAGGGCAATTAAAATACCATGTTGTTCAAAACGGATAGTTTTTGTTTTTCTAATCAAGGTAACTCGATGCTTGTCCATGATTATTCCCTGAGTGTTTGGAGGGTTTACCCTCGTGACGTTCAACATAAATAGTAGGTTTCCCCTTGACACAGCATACCTTGGACAGTTTTTAATGTAGTGGTTTCCAAACTTTTTTTCACTCATGACACCATAACCTATTCACCTTGATTTGTGCAACATGCCTGCTGCCACATGCAATATTTGTTTTGTACAAGTTTTTATGTTCTTAATTATTCTTCGTTTTGATGAAACTCTTGCAACACCCTTAACAACTTGCTGCAACACACAGTTTGGAAACCACTGCTTTAATGCCTTATGGTAAGATTGTAGCAATTAGATATCCAAGGGTAGAAGCCTATGCAATCACCTTATTCTACTTATTAATTAATAAATAATTCATAACAAAAAAAACATTATTAATTAATAATGATTAGTCTTTTAATAAATGATTGTATAGGCTTTTAATTGCAACAATTAATAATGTATTTAAGTGTTTCTTTACTTACACAATGTTACTATTTTAAAACAACTGCCATCCATTACTGTTTTACAGTCTGCTTAGTTTCTTTCCTGTTGAGAATTTTTAGAGTATTGGGAAGCTCCAAAGTATTATTAATATTATTTTCAATCATTTGTGTCATTGTTGAAACCTTGAAAGATTTGCTATAAAGCATTTTTTTTAAACTGCTTGCTACCAACCGCTGCAGTAAAGAATTCTTTTCACTACTAATACTTTGTAATTTCTAGATTTAAGAAATTTCTTCAGTGTTGGGGAATTACATTAATCCTGAAAAGGTTGTTTTTATTCTTTTTTGTTTAATAATTAAAAATATTCTGGTGTAAGTTTACCCATACGCACACAATTTTATGTAATAATGTTACTAAAATTAAGATACAACTTGATTTTTCAGCAGGTGTTCACAAAAGACTCGGATTTATGTGCAATTCAATC